AGATCTAAACACCGTTTAACAAATCACTAAAAAATAAAATAAAATATTTTTAATTACATTTAGATAACACTTATAAAAAAGAAACGAGATCAGAAGAACTCGAATATGTCTTTTATTGAGAAAATAATTTTTTCAGTTTATTTTTGAAATTAGAAAAATTCCAACTTTGGGAAAACCAAAATTTTTTAAAACTATTTGGTTCCACAGAAAAGCTGTGATAATATGTAGAAGACCTAATAATTGTTTGCGAATAATGTTGATAAATTAAATTGTTATTACTTAAATCATATTTGCTTTTGGGCTTTATTGCATATAAATTTTGAAAAAATATAGGAGTTAAGTTTATCTTACATTTGAAAATAAGCAAAAAAAAACGATAAAAACATTTAGTTAGGATATATAAAAAATATTTATTTCCAATAAAAGTGGTTTTACATGAGTAAAACGATATTTAAAGTTTATTAGTCGCGCTAGATGCTTCTGTTATCAATAAACAGGACCTAATTGACTTTTTTTAGTACTACCCCATACGATATATTTGAATAATTTAGATGGTATTGCATTAGTGAGTAATAAAGTTGAATTAATGCGTGTCTATTTAAAAAATTTCTCGCTTTGTATAATACTCAAATATTTTTTGAAACTTTGATGCGCAACGTTTCAATATGATTTTTTCATCTGAGATTTTCATCAACGAGAACACCAAGAAAAAGAATAAGTTTTGATTGTTTTATTTGAATATTATCTATATATATTTGAGGTATATTATTTGGCAAAAGATATTATTTTGATTTTGGATGAAATAAAGTCAATTTAGTTTTTTTCCATGCTAACTGATAACTTATTTGATTTGAACCATTTTGAAATTTTTGTTCGCTCCATGTTCATGTCATTAAATAGTGTTATGTTATTATTGCTAGACAAAAAAATGTTTGTGTCATCAGCAAACATTACTGTTATTAAAATTGAAGAATTATAAAGATAATTAATAAAAATGAGATGAAGAAGTGGTTCTAGTACAGACCCGTGGGGGACACTACATGTTATATCTATTAAATTTGCAATAGAGCATCAACTTGCACATACTATTTAATAGTATTTAGGGAAAATGAAATATGGAAATCGATGGGTAATTAACTAATTATTTTTTTTCATACTATTGTGCGACATGTGCGACTGTGAATTGATGTGAAAGTTTGAAAATCGCCGGATACTTGCAGAAGATAAAATAGCCTTATCATCAAGAACCGCCTCGCAACATCGTTTTTATTTTTATATAACATTTAATTTCAATAACATTAAAAATAAAAAATTATTATAAATACAACATAAAATAAAGATTAAAAAAAATTTGTTGTTATTTAAATAAAAATTAAAAAAAGTTATTTTAGCTGTTACAAGTTTATTATAACACACCTGAGTATAAACATTTATTCGTTTTTATTTTTAAATTGTGTCAACGTGTTTGGATACGTAAAATTTGTTCTAAAGTTGCCGGAGGCAATTTGGGTGATTTCTTTTTTAACTCCATTTTTCTTCTGTTGCTTTTCAAGTTCTTTTTAAATTTATTCATGTCTAACTGGAACTTTGGATACTGCAGTGTTGAAATTCGATAACAGGTGATTTATTTTTGAATTAGACTTTAGAGCTAATGTTGTATTTAGATTAATTTTTAATTTTAAACTTTAATTAAACTTGAATTCATTTTAGTTAACAATTAACGTGTTTCATTTAATCTCCAAAGAAAAACTACAAAATAGGTTTTTATAGTATTTTTAAACTAATTTTATGTGACCCTGCCCTCGTCTTCCCCAACGGAAAAAAAAAAGTAAGGAACACTGGTATATGCAAGTTAAAGATTTTTTGAATTAATTTCTTATTGAATACCAATCTATACTTTTTCAAGATTAATTAAAAAACGTAAAAAATATTTTACCCATAAAGTACAATATACAAGTTATAGATAGATATGCAAATGAAACTATTAACTTCAAATTGTTCTTCAGTTTGTTATTTTAACAGTAATACTAATTTAAAGAGTAATAAACATTCGTAAGATTCAAATAAGATATTGCCGACATCAATTAGAAAAAGCTGTTCTGGTTCGATGTTATTGTCTTGGTATTCTAAACGGAAATCTTTGAATAGCAAAACTGATGAAGTTAAAAGTCTGGGTGAAATAATCCTGATGTTGTTTTTTTTGCAGAATCAGAATTTAGCAGAATGGTATGATTTAAATTCTGACGTTTAATTGAAAAGTATCAAATATATAAAAAAGATCGCGTAACCCGTCGAGGTAAAATACGGATTTTTATTCAAGACTTTACCATCGAAGCCAATATTGAAGTTAGTTGAAACGACTTTGGCTTTATTTGCATTATATTATTATTTAGTTGATCTTTGGATTTATTTACAGACCTCTAAACCCGTCTAATAAAAATGAGAACACAAAAAACTCCTTAGATCTGATTTTAATCACCATTCAACATCGTGGTGACACCACAATGTTGAATTGTAACTAAAATCAGATCTAATGACAGAGTATTAAACACGAACAAGCAATCAGAAATTTTTTTTAAGTTAGATGAAACTTTTTAAAAATTTAATGAAGAATTGACAAATGCTCTATTCTATTAATTACTGACAATAAAAATTGTGTTAAAAATGTTAAGTTGGATGACTAAAGAATTAAACCTTTGTATCAATTCAAAAACTAAATTATAATTAGTATCAATAAGTTCAAACGGTAAAGATGTTAAAATGAAGTACTATCCTCCTAGACGTAATGTTTCAAAAAAAGCTGTAAAAAACTTTGAACTGCAAGTAAAAAACTTTGAACACAGTTTAACAATTTAAGAAAAATTTTCAAAACAAACCCAAATCTTTTGTACAGATATTAAATCCAAGCAACAAATAAAAAACTTCATTAAAACTATGGATTTCGTGAGAAATATAGTTACAAATCCAATAAGTATTATAAGACATCTAAATCAAT